CTCTTGTTCTCTTCCTTTATCTCCATCATTATTTTTCTATTGTTTTCTATTATTTTTCTAAAATAAAGGAAAATATATTTTTTTTTACTCCAACTTGCTTTTTGTAAAAGCACTGATACCCTTAGGAATCTATAATATTGCAAAGGATTCTCTTGCAAGTAAGACTATCTGAAGTTATTAGAAGCACATTGTGGAGTTTTTACTGTAGCCCCCCTGAATAACCAGGGTTGGCAGGCAATAACAAATTTGTGTCAACCGCCTGCTGAATGTAGCTTTTATCTGTGTAATTGCCCAAACTGAGTCACTTTTCTAAGTCATTGCTTTGGTTAGTTTCTCCTTTGTTATTTGTGGTAATTAGGATGGAAAGCAATTTTCTAATAATTTCTTTTTAGAATATCTCTGGGTTATGTTTTATGGGCAAATGGTAGGTTTGGAATGATTTTGACACATCTGACTACTGCAGCATAGCCTGGCTCATGCCCTATCAGCTGAAGAAGCTTTATGTGGGGGGTTGGGGGGAGTCTTTCCAATTTTTAGAGAAATGTTTGTTTTATCCTACAAAGAGGAAAACTGTGTGTGGGCTGAGGGAGGGGAGGTTGAATTTAGGAAACCTTACATTTGATTGCACACACTCTTTGCAGCTAAAGACCCTCAGGGGGTAAAAAGGATCAGAGGGAGGCAGGAGACTCTGGCTCATTTGCATCAAAGACTGGAGACACAGGGAACTTTGAGATGAGAGCCAATAAATCACGGCTAGGGCAGCCAGGTTGAACCCATACATCTTACTCAACAATGTGGGAGGGACTTGTTCAGTGTAGACAACATGAATTTGGTGGCAGGCTTGGTGCTTCACAGTCGGCCACTGGCAAATTGGACTCAGATCCACCTAGATTCACTTCTTTATTTTACTTAACGGATCTTCTCTCCTTTAAAAAGTCCCACCTCACTCAATAGCAAGGGGAGACTAGGCATGGTGGACTCTGAACTGCCCAGTTAGTGGTATCTCAAGCTCTTCCATTTTAAATAATCCTTTTGGGTCTCTCTTGGGTTCAGATGCCAATTCTACCCATCCCCTTGCTTCTCTCCAAGATGGTGAGTGGGGTGGAGGCAAGCACTTAGCCTAGCCTCTGGGGCCTCAGATCCCCAGATGCAAAACTTTATTTCTTCCCTCTAGTTTCTTGGGTCTCTAGCAATAGCCCTGGTGTGCTGGTCACTGGGTGACCAACTGATCTATGATCTCAAGGGTGCAGCTGGTGAACCTATGTTCCATTCTTTGAAAAGAACTTGGTGTCCTGTCCCAATACTACACATATCCTCTCTCTCTCTCCCCTTCTCTGTAACTTGATAATCCAGGCTCTCACTGGTGCTGCAGCTCACCTCTGATATTTGCCAGAACCCCCAAGTTGATCCTTGCCTTGGGCGGTTTGATAAGACATGGCCTTTGGTCACCTTACTCCACTGTGATAACCATCTCTTCATGCAACTTCAGCAGCAGCAGTAGCAGGTCAGTTGGGAGCTTCTGGGTTCTTTGCAGACCCCATGGGAGCTGAGGGAGGCTCAGTGGTGCTAACACAGCCAGGTTTGCTGTGCAGCACCTTTGAGTTGCCGATGGGTGTTCTCTCCCACCCCTGAGTCTCAAATGGGGATCCAGGCACAAATTCTCCCTTCTTTGCCTCCTCTCCTGTCCCTCCTCCTCTCCTGTCACTGTGTGGAAGCAGGACTGTTATAGAAATACTAAATTTTAAGAAGAGACTATAGTGTGTAAGTGAGGGAAGAGACAAAACATTGCAAAGACTGACAGGAGCCCTAACCAGTTTGGCTCAGTGGCTAGAGCATCGGCCTGCAGACTCAAGGGTGCCAGGTTCGATTCTGGTCAAGGGCATGTACCTTGGTTGCGGGCACATCCCCAGTAGGGAGTGTGCAGGAGGCAGCTGATCGATGTTTCTCGCTCATCGATGTTTCTAACTCTCTATTTCTCTCCCTCTCTGTAAAAAAACCCAATAAAATATATTTTTTAAAAAAAAGACTGTCAGGAGAGGCCAAGCATTTATAGGAGGAAACCATTACTCCTACCCATGTCAGTATTTCCTGAGGGCATCCTTGTGTATCACAAGGTAAGTCATAATATATGATGACAATACTGGGAATGTTGACTCATCAATGAAAGATCTTATTATACTTAGTGTTTCTATAGGAAGGCACATAAATATTAAGTGTTACAAAGATTTTCATAGAAATGGTCTGATTGTAGTATTTTAAATGGGATAAGGAGGAGATTCTGTAATATATGATTAAAAGCATGGATTTTGAAGCGAGACAGATCCAGGTTCAATCCCCACTCTCATCTGCTCTATTCCTCAGAAGCTCAGTTTCTTCATGAATAAATGAAATCCATGACACTACATTCAGTTAAGTAATACGCCCTCATAGAGGTTGTTGTAAAGGTTAAAAAAATCTTAATATATAATAAAGTACTTAGTACAGAGCCTGACACAAAGTAAATATCAATAACTTCTACCCATTCTCAGTAATATGTGGAATATAGCTTATGTGGAATCCCTTAGTTCCTGATGCTATATATGACATTATGACATCTGTATGGATATCTCTGATCTTGTATCATCTTGTGTTCTGGAAGGTAATTTTCAGGTCAATTATTTGTAGTTCATAGGTTGAAGGCAATCCAGAATATTTCCCCTTTCCAGCCAGGCAGAGTGGGGGGTCACATGTATGGGCTATGGCAGGTGAGCCAGGATGAATTTCTTTCCTGTTGGAGACAGATGGCTTTCTGACTGGGACTAGAATTCTTTCTTCCGTTGGCTCAAGTCCTTGGTTAACGAGGGAATGCCTAGACCTTCTGTCACATCACGGGATCTTGCTCCCTGCAAGCTCTCATTTCTTGCTTGGGTTCGCAGTAGATAAACTGCTTTGGAATTTTAAATTCTATGATGAGAAATCCTCTGAGTGGATGGTCAATAGGCTGATGATTCTATTCTTTCAGCACTTCCTATTTTTCTGGTTCCTTTCTAAAGTCAAAGAAAATGCTAGTGGACTTACCTGTTTCCTCCCCCAGTAAAGCTGTAGGTGAATATGCACCCCAAGGACAGTGGGAATGCTTGAGGAATGATGAATACCTTTAAAGGATCAACAGAATTTTTCATGAGAAATTGCAATAATATCTGGAACCTGAAATATATCCTGGTTTTATTTTTATTTTTTTAGTAAATGAAAAATTTAATCAATAACTTATTTTTTTCTGATTAAATTCATTAAAAATTAAGAATATACCTACTTTTATGAAAGTAATATTTGCTCATGGTTAAAAAATCAAACTGAAGGGCTTATAAAGGAAACAAACATCCTATACCTTGTCCCTTTGCCCATTCTGCTAACCAAAGACCACATGTTCTAATTTTAGCTGTTTCTTCTTACAGTTTCTTCCATGTCTCTAAATAACATGCATCACAACTATTTCTAGATTTATTAATTTTAGATATCTCGTGGCTTCTGTTAATTTAGCTGAGGTTTTAGCTCACTTTATTTACTTTCTACCTCCTAAGATTATATTGCTCCCTTATTGGTTATTTTTGCAATTTGAAGTAAAATATTAATACCTTATCATAGCAACTCTAGATACCATCTCATGATTGTTCTCTTCTATTTCTCTAAGCTTATCATTTGTATTTTTACAGTGTCAGAATTGATGAGGTTATATTCAGATACTTAATAATTAGATATTCCATGCTTGACTATGCTGGTTTTAAAAGTTGGAAATTAAGATGTTTATAATTATGACAATAATGTGACATAGTGTATTTTGATTTCCTTTCTTGCACAGCTTTTTTTTATGCTTCTAATTTCTTTTCCTGCCCTCCAAAGTATATACCTTTATTGAATTTTTATGTTGTTTATTCCTATATAACTCACTTCTGAAATGTCTGTTCTCTGAACCATTGTGTATGGAATGCTTTCTATTAGTTTCCCCCTGCTTTCTACACTTGGAGCCATTTTCCCCTACTTCCCTTGCTGTCTTCTTTCTTCCTTTACTCCCACATTTTTGCTGATATACATTCTCAAGTAACTCCCCAAGAAAGGATATCTGGAAAATAAATTACCTGGGTCTTTGCATACTTGAAAATATCATTATTTTATCCTCACATTTGATTGTTTTAAAATTTTAAAAAGTCTTCTGGCCTTCTCCCATGTTCTTTCTGTTGTTTTTATTAGGTTGCATGTTGATCCTCTTGGATTGACCTTCTAAGTCTTATTTTTTTCTTATGTTTCTTATCTTTTATTCCTTTTTTATCTTCTAATATTTATGCTGAATTTTAAATTTTTACTCGCTTAAAAAATCCTCACCCAGGATATGTTTTTATTGATTTTTAGAGAGAAAGGAAGGGAAGGAGGGATGGGAGAGAGAGAGAGAAAGAGAGAGAGAGAGAGAGAGAGAGAGAGATTGAGAGAGATGAGAGAGAAACAATGATTGGTTGGCTCCTGTATGCACCCTGACTTGGTATCAAAACTTCAACCTAGCTGTGTGCCCTGACCAGAAATCAAACCTCCTAGGATGGGCAAATGTTAATCAGGGCCACGGAGGTCAATTTGTAGCTTCTGGCCCAAAGACTGACAAGCTGGATGGAGCCCAGAAGAAATTATCTTGGTATCTTTCTTGTTTCATATTACCAGAATACTTTCATTGAGATAAAAAATTCAGACTGGAAAATGTCTCTTGGGAATCGCTGGATTGCTACAGGATCTGTTGGTTGGTTGGTTGATTAACCATGTTTCCTTTGCTAACTTCTTCTTGGGGTATAGTAACCTTAGCAATTGCATTCAGATGATTCACTCTAAATCACTGTTCTTTTGGATTCCTTGAAGAGTCACTTTCTTATTCAAGAGACTATTATGGATGGAAGCAAAATTACCTGGTATCGTTGACATTATTTATGTCCTCATTGAATCGCAAGTAATGTGCCCTTTTCTTCTTTTTTTTTTAACAGATACTAATTTTGTGTTGGGGAACGCGCAGATAGTGGATTGGCCTATCGTGTACAGCAATGATGGATTTTGCAAGCTCTCTGGCTATCACAGGGCAGAAGTTATGCAAAAAAGCAGTACCTGCAGGTATTTATCATTGAGGCTGTTCTGTTGGACAACCTATCAGAGCATCTTTCAGAAAAAGAAAATGGCTTACTCAGGGTGGGAATTACCTTTCTCTCATTCAGTGTTTATTCAGGAATATTTATGGCAATATCATCTCCATGTCACACACTGTACTGGGAAAATCAAAGACTTAAACTGCTGAACTCCCACAACTGCTGAACTCCCAGTCAGTAAGATTGGGGGTGGGGGGGAGGAGGGGAACCTAGAAAAACTCAGAAAAATCATTTTATCTATAAAATGTGAACTCAGAAATTGATAAGGTTTTAGATAAAACTGAATGTGAAAGTTAGAAGATTAAATAAAATGAAATAAAATTTTAGATGATTAATTTTTAGGATTTATGGCTATTATAGAGAATACAATGTTGGAAACAAGTGCCTTGATCATAGAGCTTTGCATCAGAAAAAGAGAAGAGAACCCATATTTTGTTGCCTTCCAGTTCTTGTTACAGCTCTCTCTGATCCCTAACTCAAAGGCAGAGGCAAATGGTGCTAACTGTGCACCTTGTGTATCGGACAGGGTTACTTACCAAGCAGCACCTTTGGGCAGTGGTGTTAGAACAGCTCTTTCGAAGTGTCTTCAAGGTGTTGAGTGGAACACGGATCCTGCCTCCTGCCTTGCATTTCCCTGCAGAGTCCTGGCAGGGCTGGGCTCAGCACAGCCTTAGGCTCCTCTCACTCCCTCTTTGTCCTGAGTCCTCTGCCTTCAGTGTGTTTGCAAGAAGCAGAATCATTTTCCTAATCCTTCCAAATCAAGAAATAATCTCATTCATGAAGGGTGGAAAACGCTGTGTGACCCAGGCATCGTTTTTGGTTTTCAGAGACGATGCATTTTCATGCCAGCAAGTCAGCCAAACAACTAGTTTGGTGGAAAGTATGAAATGTTTTGAAAATATTGTTTCCTTAAACTTTAGGTTTTGGGGACTGGGAAATAGAAAGTGTAAGATCCCCCATGCCCAATGCTCAAAGATTAAGAAATTATAACTCTTAAGTAAATACAATAGAATCCTCTTACAGTCGTGGTATGCTTTCATCCTTTTGCGTGTCTATGTCTAGATCTACATCTGCATGTGCACATATGCCATCAGAACTAATTGGGAGAGTTAGCTTCACTTTCTAGTGGGACTTGAGCGGCCTTTCCTTCCCTTTCTTGCTTCTTATTGGTTATAATCAGATACTTTAAGAAAATCAGATAAATTTGCTCATTTAGTCACCTTCAAAAAACAAATAAACCATACAGTCCTAAGAAGCTCATGTACTTCCCTGAAGCTGTCCCTTCTCTAGAAATAAGGTAAACCTATCTTGTGCCAGCTATACTAGTACTCCTCGCCGCTCGGGAGCCTCTTTCGCTTAATTCTTGCATTGCAGGCATCTGAAGTAGAATGCCCAGGAAAAGGCATCTTACACTACAGCTTAAGAAAGTATATCCGAGAATGAAAGCTGGGTGTCATTATGGGCCTTCGTTTATTTGAAGACTCCATTCTACGGGCATTTGTTTAATCTTGTGAAGTAAATTGCCGGCATTTAGAGCCGGCATCGCATCACTTAAATGGAGGTCACTTATCTAGCAAATTAACTCGGAGAAAGTGGGAGGAAGCTCAAAAAGCTTCCTCTGAACAACCGGCTAAATAAAATGGTCATAGAGCTGAAGCTGTTACCTCCTCGGAGGAATCCTCTTGTTCTTGGCACGGCTAATTCAGTCGTGATCTATTCTTTTTTAAAGATAATTCAACAAACTGGCTTATAGATGAAGAGCACACCCAAAGGCCAAGAGCTAGGCATAGGGAAACCACAGGTAATAACAGCTGTCACTGGGCTGGGGAAGGACATAATCAAGGTGACCCGGATTCATAAAGTCCACAGCTAGGACACTTTCCTTACAGGAGCCCACAGTGAGCCCAAGGCCGCTCCAGTATCAAGCTGAGCATGGCGCTCGACTTGGTGGTTCAGGACTTGCACTCCACATCCTCTGAGGTTCTTCTTAGCTCTGAAATGCTACGATGCAGCAAGTCATCAAGAACCAGTTAGATTCGCATGTGGTATGCACAATTTTAGAAGACGGGGAGTGTCTTGTTTAGGAACCCATGCCACTGCTTCCACGTTCCCCAAGACTTGGGGGCTGAGTGTTGCTGTCTTTGTTATTGTTGCCTGAAAGCCTGGGGTGGGCAGGATAGATGGTCCCTGCATCTATGGGGAGCCTTTGTCAGAAGACTGGCTTTTCCAGCTCCATTGAGAAATAGCTTTTCTTCTCTTTCATTTTGTTAATGTCTTGTGCATGGCTCGCTCTGCCTCGTTGGGGTGTATCCTGTCCCTGGAGGGACAAACCCTTGTCTTTAGATCATAGACAGTGGGGACCAGGAAAATGGAAAATTCTGGCAGAGTTTCTGCCTCTGCTGAGAACCAGTACGAGTAGGCAGGAGTTTCTACCCTCTAGGAGTTTTCTCTAATTTTTCCCATGCTGCTGCTTTACCCGCTTCGTCTACTTTTCTCTAAACGTGAGCAGGAAGGAGTGAGAATTTGTAGGATTTCATCATCATTTTTTTAACTCAATGCTTCCCCTCTTCTTTTGAGGGGGGCAGAGGGTAGGAAAACAGCTGCATGGATTAGTGGCTGAATCTTCTGGTTCTTCAACTCTGTCTTAATGTTTAGAACATCAAATTGCATCTCTTTTCTTATTTGATTGTAGACCTTTAGTGATCCCCCCCCCAAACTTGTATTTATTTTTATTGTGAATTAGAAGAAGAAAAGTCTGTGGTCAATTTCCTCTGCATCTTTCCTAAGAGTTCTTTCAGAATGAAGTTTAAATTACTCATGGCTTCTAAGGCCATGCTCTCCTCCATGACCGGGCTGTGCTTACCTCTCTGTGTCATCTGCTGCAAATTTCCCCTCATGGTCTATATTCCAGTCATTCTGGACTGAACTGCATTCAGTTCCAGAGTTAACCTCACTCTCATCTCTGTGCCTTTGCACATGCTCACCTGTTGCCTGGAATGTTCTTTCCTTGCTAATGTCCACTTTCTCTTTAGATCTCATTTGTCCTTACCTCTGGGAGGCCTCCTCTGACCACTCAGAGAGTGCTCTGTGACTGTTCTGTGTTGCCTGATTCCTTATGTGTTGTCATACTGTTTTCTGATCTACTCTTCTCCAGTGTGTCTTTCTTATGAGACTGTTTATTTTGGGGAATAGTGATGGAGTCTTGATCACAGTTGAATTAATAAATCCTTTTTGAATGTTTTCTGTGTGTGTGTGTGTGTGTGTGTGTGTGTGTGTGTGTGTGTACTACAGAGCACAGTGCTAGGTATAGAACAGATATTTAATATATGCTGGTAGAATAATAAATATTTGCTAATCTAACTTGAGCTCTTTTGTTGATTTGCAGTTTTATGTACGGGGAGCTGACTGATAAAGATACAATTGAAAAGGTGCGGCAAACATTTGAGAACTATGAGATGAATTCCTTTGAAATTTTGATGTACAAGAAGAACAGTGAGTATTCAGACCATTCTCAACCATGTCTTAATGTGCTTGGCATCGTAAAATATCTCGCTTCCTCTGTTGCTGTCTTGGGTTTTCTTCTCTCCCAGCAGCTAAATGCTGTTACTTGAACCCATTGTGTGTGTTGGGAAAAATGAATTGATGAGTCAGACTCTTCCTCCTGGGAACATTTGTAATGCAGCTTTGCGTACTGGATGGTGCGAATTTCCCCACAACACACAGTACTAATTGGGTAGGTGTATCACCAAAAGAATTTTTGCCTTTCTATTTTGCTGCGCAAGTTTCAAGCTTCATCAGACTGTGCATTTATCTTGCTCAAATTCAACGATATGTGTTTGGCACAAAAGGGGAGAGAGAAGGAAACATAATTTAAATAGAGTTAGTGATTTCACTTGCCACTGCCTTCAGTGAGCATCTGCCCCCGAGGGAGTATAAGATGAGAAAAGGGAATTTGCTCTTTCCTCAGCTGCCTCCAGGATGAAGGTCTCATTGAATCTCACGCACTGAAGGCGATTCTGGTGTACGAAGTTCTGTTCTTCAGTAGACGTTGCCTCTGTGTGTGAGTCAGTAGGTTCAGCTGAGTTCTACAAAGAGTCAGCATCCCTTCCCTCCCTGGAGGTTGACTGAGTGGGCTCACTGAGAGGCGCATGCCAGCTTGGGCAAAGGGCTCTACTGGGGCTGGGGATTGAATCTTCACAGGCGGATGCTCTAACCACTAAGCACACTGATCAGGGCTATGCTTTTTTTTTTTTTTTTAACAGCGTTTTATTGACCTACTATGTCAGACACTAGGCTTGCTGCCAGGAATGTGGTTTTGGCAAGAGACGCAGCTTCTGCTCTTATAGCATTTGCAGGGGTGGGGGCAGCCTCCACAGGACAGAGCCATAGTGTCTGTTTTTTTTTTTAAAGGACCATTTATTTATTTATTTAAAATATTTTTATTGATTTCAGAGAGGAAGGGAGAGGGAGAGAGAGATAGAAACATCAGTGATGGGAGAGAACCATTGATTGGCTGCCTCCTGTATGCCCCCCACTGGGGATCGAGCCGGAAACCCAGGCATGTGCCCTGACTGGGAATCAAACCATGACCTGGTTCATAGGCTGACGCTCAACCACTGAGCCACGCCGGTGGGGCGAGGCATAGGGTCTTGATAGTGACACCACATAGGGGAGTTACTTACCCCCAGCTTAGGAGGTTAGGGAAGGAAGTCGTCCTTGCAGACAGGAAGTCCATGCAGAAACTGAAGGATAGGTGGGAGTTAGGCAAAGAGAAGGGCAAAGAGTACCCCAGGCTGTTGGAATGCTTAATTGAGTTTGTGATGCCACTTGCCATTGCCTTCAGTGAGGAGGTAGCAGGTGAGAGTGAGCACTGGAGGTAACAGGTGGGAGTGAGGAACAACAGGGCTTCTCAGACTTGGACATGCCTGGGAAGTCACCTGAGAATCGAACTACTCCTTCCATTCAGTAGATCAGGGGAAGGTCAGAGATTCTGCTCCCAGGTGATGGTGGTGCCGCTGGTCCACCTGTCATACTCTGAGGAGCCAGGACAGAAAGCAGCTAGTGAAGGCTGGCTTCCAGGCCTAGGTGTGTCTTTTTAAATTTTAAATTAAAAAATATATTTTATTGACTTCAGAGAGGAAGGGAGAGGGAGAGAGAGACAGAATTAATGATGAGAGAGAATCATTGATTGGCTGCCTCCTGCACGCCCCTACTGAGGATCGAGCCCACAACCTGGACATGTGTCCTTGACTGGAATCAAATCCGGGACCCTTCAGTGTGGACATGTGTCCTTGACTGGAATCAAATCCTGGACCCTTCAGTCTGCAGGCTGATGCTCTATCCACTGAGCCAAACCAGCTAGGGTGTGTCTTTCTTCATGGCCAACTCCCTGCACCCAACATGGTGCCTGACACAGAAAGTGCTCCACCAAAACTAATGGAGTAATTACATAAAAATGTAAGTGAGGGGTGGCCAATGGGGCTGCAAGGTTACTAAGGGCCGATGACACAGCCACGTTAAAGAGTTTGGAATTTTTCTCAGGAGCAGCAGTGGTGGGGAAGGAGGGTGGGGGTGAGGGGCGTGGAGGGGCTTTAAGCAGGGTTAAGCAGATAATCAGACTTTCATTTTAGAAAGATGATTCCAGTAGAGTGTGGGGATGGAATGGAGCATTGGAGACTGGAGGTGGTGGCTGTTAGGAACCACCCTGGTGACAGGATGAGTGTGGCCTCTGTAGGGGACCAGGCCGTTGAGAGGGTGAGATGTGGGTGGTGGTGGTGGGGAAGGGTGGTGGGAGGAGCCTGAGTGCAGAACTTTGTCAGTGGTGCCCACTGATTGGCTCTTCCTCAGTTTGCCCAGCCCCAGGCAGTGCCCAGGAGGTGGGAAGCACCACTTTTACTGTCAGGACTCCCGTCCGGTCTGAAGTAAAACTCTCCAAGAATCTAGCCAAGAGCCTGGCCTGGAGGAGCTGCTCAGCGAATGTTTGTGTTAGTGATTTTGAAAGGATAGTCCCCAAGAAACATGAGTGAAAGAAAAGTATGAGATTCAGAGGGAGGGCACTGAACGGGGGAATGAGCAGTGTGGGGCTGGACCGACGGGCGATGCCCCGGAAAACCAGACTGAACCTACGTGGATGGGAGGAGAGGAAGGAGGAGACAGAGTTTGCTTCTGCTTTCAAACTTTCGGTTCATTAGATGGAAACTTTCAGCATTTCGAAGCAGTGCAGAGTCCCACGGGGGAAACGTCAACCCCGTGGAGATTTTTAAAATGTGAAATGTCATCATCTGAAAGAGTGTTTATTTTTCTCTCTCATTTTTAAATGATTGCATGTTTACTATGGAGAATACATGAGGGTATAAAGAAGAAAAACAATCACCCCAAAGCCTCAAAGACTCAGAGAAATACTCCTATACTCTTAGCTGTTTGGTGTGTTTCCTTTCATTTTTTTTGCCTGTGCACATGTTACATAATTGATATGTTGACATAGATGCAATTTGCAATCATACAATTATGTAATCTTCATCACAAAAATTTCCCCATCATTAAAATTCCCCATAAACATCATCTAGAAAGAAGTTTATTGATACTTCCTCTATTGTTGGATATTTATAAGGCTCTAAATTTTCTTTATTAAACACATGTTAAAGTGAATATCTTTGTGCAAAGATATTTTATGGGCTTTATGAAATTTTTCCTAGAAGTTGAGTGTTACTGTGTCAAAGATTATGAGCTAAGATTTCTGAGACATTTTGCCAAATAGTGTTCTGGGAAATTGAACCCATTTCCAAGTTCACTTGAAGATTACGAGCATCTGACTCGTCACACTGTACTAGCATTTAATAATGTAACTTATCAAATTGCCTACAATTAAATTTTTTTTGCTTAATGAGTATTTTTTAATGCTAGTGAGATTGAATAGTTTTCCTACTTAGTATTTTAAATTACCCTTTTATGTTAATTGTTCAGATTCTTTGCCCATATACGGTATTCTATTTAATTCTAGTGTTTTTCTTACTTATTTTCATAAGCTTTTTAATAAATTGTTTTGATTTTTTTTTCTCCTCTCCCATTCTTTAGTATTTGCAAGGACAACTTTGTAGAAAGGATCTTCTTTGATAAGCATTCATGTTTTTCTAACCTTTTGGGGAGTTGGGAGTAGAAGGCTTCATGGTGTGCTTTGGAGTGAATATATGGAATATTCATATCTTGAAGGATGGATTATCTGACAGGTTTATGTCTATTGACCAGTTGAACCAATAAACCTGGGCATTTTGGTAGTCCTCTATATTTTGTATTGTTACTTAGGTATTTCTCAGTATGCTAGAACATTTTCTGACATAAATGACAGTCATCATTAAAAAACTCATTCAGTAAATATTTAGGCAGTCACTATTATGCTAGTCAGTTACTTTTTCTATTTTTCAAGCAAGAAAATTAAGAAGTTTCAGCCCTGAATGAAAGCAGTACACCCTCCAGGTCACACTCCCCAGTGTGCGGCCAACTCCACAACTTGTGGCGAGGCCAGTGGCCCCGAGTTCTGGGGCTCTGGGCCCGATTCTCCATCAGAGAAACATTCTGCCAAGCCAGCAAGGAGAAGCTGCTGGCCAAGTACTTATTGATTACCTACTGTAGGCCTGTGGGTATCCAGATATAAGAAACTGACTCTGCCTTTGAAAAGGTTACAACCTAGTTGTGGAAATGAGTGTAATAGGAAAACAATATTATTTTGCCTATTTTCCAAATGGATTGTCTTTTACTTATTCAGTGTGAGGAGCTGCTTAGATTAAGGGATATTGATAAATCATGCACATAATGAAAAATATTTCTCCTATTAAAATTTTTCTTTATATATAAAAGTATAACATTTTTAAGTCAGTGTTTTCCTTTGTGTTTCTGAGCTTTATCTAACACTTAGGAATTTATTTATTATTTTTTATGTGGTTTTATTGATTTTAGAAAGAGGAAGGGAGAGGGAGAAAGAGAAGGAGAGAGATAGAAACATCAATGAGAGAGAAACATCAATCGACTGCCTCTTGCATGCCCCCCTACTAGGGATTGAGCCTGCAATTCGGGCATGGGCTCTGACTGGAAATTGAACCTTGTGACCTCTTGGTGTGTGGGACAATGCTCAACCAACTGAGCCATACTGGCCCAACCAACTGAGCCATACTGGCCGGGCAGGAATTTATTTTTATATGTTACGTGGCATAGTAATCGAACTTAATTGACTTTCCACATTGTCTATTCGGTTGTCTCAGTGTAGTTGTCCTCCCTTATCTGTGGGGGATACATTACAAGACCCCCCGCCCCCCATGGATGTCTGAAACCCTGAATAGTATTGAAACCTACATATATTGTCCCGCCTTTTCACTTAAGAGAAGCACTTTACGGCTTCTCATTGGCATGTCTGAATTGCCAGCATCACTACTCTTGCACTTTGGAGACATTATTAAGTAAAATAAGGGTTCCTGGAACACAAGCACCGGAATACTGCG